AATCCAATATAATGCACACCTAAACTTCTGAAACATTTTCAAGAATGCTTACCCTCCTATGAAACACACACCCTTTTTTTCCTCTCAAGTTTGATAAAAACTTGTGCACATCATATTCCAGTAAATAAAGTAGCTTGCCAAAATTGGTGAACTGATGAACAACAAGACAGAAATAATGATTGCCAAATAAGTTTCACTTTTTGATTTGCTGTTGGTATGCATTTTTCATTCAATTTTCTCCAAGGCACAGTGAGAGACCAAAGTTTGGACACTGCAACACATGGAAAATTTTACTCAGGGACCCTTAGAACTAAAAAAAAAGATGTATGTGCCCCAAATATCTCAAAAGTGACTTTATATGGACAATTTTCAATTAAGATTTCTGGATGATCCTGAAATTTTATATTCTGACATTTTTCTTGTAGAAATAGAGCTACTAACACAGAAAATTCTAAAAAAGATGTATTACAAAATTACTTCAATTCATAATCCAAAAAAGCCAATTTTGTGCTTTTTCAGTTTTTTCATCATGTGCACTCAATATAATATTCAAGCTTTGCTTCTTGAACTCCTTCTGATGCTAAAAGATTAGATTCTGTTTGGCTTTCTTCTGTACATCCATTTCCTGTGTCATGGTGTTGAGAAAAGTGATTTTATTCACTTTTTTGGGGAAATTTTTTCAAATATTGATTTGAAGGAGAACCGATTAGAAATATTCTAAGTAAATATATTTTTTCTAAATATATCTAATATTCTAAATATTCTTCTAGCTTCAATATTGAAGCTTATTGTTTAATAGGTATGTTTCACAGACATTCTGACTTGGGTACAAGGTTCATGCTGCACCAATTAGTGTACATCCAAATTTTGGGGTCCCACGTCTGCACCTACTCATTCCATTTAAAGCTTAAAATTTTGAATACAGGAAACGTGAGGGTGATATTGACCCTTCTGCGGTGAAGTCTGACATTTTTCACAGATTTTGGATGCACTCATGAATGGAATTAAACAAAAAAAACCTCAACAGTGTGTGCAGGGTGAAGTTGGGAAAAATCCTTGCATTTTTTTAAATTTCCCACAGAAACATTTTGCCTGAAAATGAAAAAGTGAATACTTCAAGGCTCCCTTTTTCCCCCTGGTCTTGTGTTGTTTCCCCTTCTAAGATTAAATTCAAGCTTGAAAGCCAGGAGCCCAGGTTAGAGGTCAATATGGAAAAAAGTCCGACTCAGGACTTTCCCTGCATTTCTTTATCCCTGGATAAAATCCAACTTTGCCCTCCCCCACCTGGCAGGGGTTGCATAACCTTGTGCAACCTTGTGCAAAAATGTTATGCAGGCACCTGGGGAAATAATCCGACTTTGCCCTTGGATGGATAGGAGGAAGCCGCCGTCCAAGGGTTGATTACTGTATTGTAATTCGAGAAATCTTGTGACTCACACGAACGCCTTGATCGCCGGAATGTTGCATAAAAAGTTGAAAATCTTGTCCTCCGTGTCCAGAGTCACGAAGTGTGAGATGATCTCAGGATCATCGGCAAGTTTGAGGAAATTCGCAAACTGGCTCTCAGCCATGGCTGGAGTGAGTCGATCCCTCGTGTTATTGTTCTCGGCGACATGATGAACAGTCATGTGCGATACGGCAGTCATGGATTCACATTGAGATGCATTCAACGGCGATGCGTCTTCCGGTGCGAGTGCCACAGATGATCCGGATACTGATGACAATCGCATACCGGACATTCGGGTGAGGCTCCCAGGGTAAAACATCTCTTCCGGAATCGGAGAAGAACCCGAGCCTTCGACAGGAGACTCCGACGATGTCTAGGGTATAGAAGAGGAAAAGATAATGTTCTCGTTATCTCAATCATCACACTGCATTATTCCCAGAAAATGCATCCATTCAGCATCCCTGCACGTAAGTATTTTACACGCACAAATCACAATTGACTCAGAGAATGCGGATAAGTACAGTACTGTATAATGTAGCCAAACTTGTTCAAATGGAAATAGGAAACTGAACATAAATGTGACACGAGTATCTGCTGGATGAAAAGCGATCCGTTTACAATCACAAAATAAGACTTCTCCAAAATGTAGATTATAGTCGGGTTGAACCTGGATAAGTCGAACCTGCGTAAGTCAAGTGCCTTCCTATAAAACACTTCAAATCTTTTTCAAGTCCCTGTCTTACTTCCTCAGAAACAAAATCCGAAACAGCATCGAAGGCTTTCCTCATTGAACTCGTGATCTTCAAGTTGACCGCTGCCTGTTATTTCCTTGACACAGGAAAGAGACACGAAATAAAAATCCAACTTGATGTGTTTTCAAAGGAAGGGAAAAACCCATATGGAAATGAACCCTTATACCTCCAAGTGCAGCATCCAGTCAACTCATTCAACAAGCAATATAAGTCCAGAATATATCCCCACTTACGATTTCCTGCAATAAGTCTTCCCTTCCCCGCTCTATAGTCACACAAGCTCTAGTTTCCTCAACTCGAAACCTCCATATCTCGAAATTTTCTCGCTTGTCCCATTAATTTCGACTTACATACGCTCCATAGATTATCAAGCTACAGTAGTAGAGTACAGTATTATATTTTGGTTCATCAAATTTAGGCAAGATTTGTAAGAGACTAAAAGGTTTCCTTGAAGTTTCGGCTGATGAGTTACAACCGTTTGCGTCGAATAGATTCGGAACAACGAACAAGATCAACTGGTCATCTAGCGTTTGAAGAAAATTCTATGGAATTCGACTGAATTGATAGCGTAAAAGCCGTTTGTTCTTTCAAGGTGATCACTTTTCCTGTTTCAGATTCTTCTTGACGCTGTAGAACCAGGAGAAACACCGTTGGCGATTTCAAGATACTGTACATCGATTACTCAACAACCCACAGATGATGAGTTACGAAAACGTGCAACGCCGAGGAACACCAAATATTACGCAAGAGCGACGCATTTGTCAAGGTCGTTGAAAAGATTGATCTCGTTAACGGAACGAACAAGTCCTCAGCGCGTTATGGTGAAACGTTTCCCGGATGTATAGTTCCTCAATTTCGGAAGAAAGATTTTATTGATGCCTCCAAATCAATGCAGTCGCACTCTCGCACATGATCTTCATCGCGTTTCAAAGCACAGGTTCGGAAGAGCAAGTTACGCGATGACTGACGATTGTGACGAACAAGCGTTAGCAATAATGGATATTATACCTCATCCTCCTCGCGTTCGGTGTTATCGGCATCCAAGTTCAGTTCCCCGACGCGAATGTCTTTGATGGACCGCGTCAACTCACTCGCATCGTTCATGACTTCTCTCTCATCGGTCCTCGCGAACTCGTTCACTTCACAATCAGCCAGTTGATCTCCATGCACGGCGTCCACGGTCGCACTCTTAGCTTCATCATCACGTCATACACCGAGGTCAGGAATGGATGGAAAGAGAACTGAGCACCGGAGACACACGAGCGATATCCTCGACACAGTCGTTGAAAATCATGTTAAAGCGAGTCTTTCAAAGTTAGATTACCTTTCACACACGTATTTTGCTTCGCTTCTCCGGCGAACGGATCCCCAGAAGATTTTCCCCACTCCGAACTCATGCTCACGATTTTGAACTTGTCACGCGGATCACGACTTCAAAATGAACCAATAACGGACATCAGCGAGAACTTACTTCCACAGATATGACACGAGGAAACTTTAGCAAAACATCATCGTAATTGGCTATAAGTAAGTCAACTGGTGAATAATTTCTCACGGGGCGAACCCTTCCAAAGTTTCCCCTTGCAACGTCTCGAGCTTTCCTGTGACTAATTATCTGACACATTCCTCAGGGATGGGAAAGCCCCGCAATTCCATCGAGACAGTGCGGAACGCGGTTTCAACTCTTTCCGGTGGGAGATGTGAACTGCATGTTCGGATTTTGTATTTGCAGAAGGAAATTGTACGCTTTAGCAAGTTTAGCTATTTTTTTTTACATAAAAATGGTCACGTGGAGCTTGGATTACCCACGTTTGATAAAATGCCACCCACTTCGGTCAAAATTATGGCACTCTAAAGTACTGCAGCACCATAGACCGTATACAGTATATATTATTTGTACAGGTGGATTCTCTCCTTTAAGAAATTAGGGGACAGGGAAAACATTTGGTGTAGAGAGAATTTGGTTGTGGAGTTCCCCTGAAGATAAAGGAGAAGCCCATGGGCTACAAGAACATTTTTTGTACAGAGAAAATTGTCCTATGCAAAATTGTTGAATTGACTGTGAGCAGTGTTCCCCAACTTGTGGTCTGCAGAAAATTCTCTTCCACATAACAAATGGTTGAAAATATCTTTCAACTAGTACAACCTGACCTAGCTGCCCTCAAAGTCTAATAATATTTCTCAAAGCAGTAAAATATACTTAGGTTTAAAACTGACCTAACCTAACCTAACCTAACCAAACCAGACCTAACCTAACCTAACTGAAGTTAACCTAACATAACTTAACCTAGCATAACTTAACCTAACATAACTTAACCTAACTGAATTTAACAGCTACAGATTAGGGGGAAATTGCAAGGTACCACCTGAACTTTATAATTTTAGATTGAGCAATATTTGCTGTGTCTACACTTGGTGTTCTATTTTATTTCTGGAATTTGATCAACACCCTTGATGCATTCTGTGTATTTCACTTGAAAATGGAGTAACTGCAAATATTTTACTGTATCTTGAATGTTTAGCAATCTAACTTGCAACTTTTGATCAGATTTTCAGATACACTGGAATATGCATATATGTTACAGTAAGTAAGTAGAAAGTTTTCAGAAGTGATAATATTAGTCTATGATGGTGCTTCACAAAGTTCTTCAATCGCAACATTTCACAGGATTTGAAAGATCTGATGAGAAGTAATTTGAAAATGTTATTTTATTATTTTTCATGTTTGTACTTTCAAGCTTCAAAGTCACCTAAATGCTTACAAAAAATATTGCCAACATCTTCGCAGAGACATAATCTTTTCAGTATTGATTACATGTAGTTAAATTTCAAATGTTCAATGGTCAATATTTGAAAATTTGCCCAGCAGCTCTTGTTACAAGAAAAGCTTTTAATCATATTTCACGCATTCAGAAAGCCATATTCTAAATATTATTACTGGTATTGTATGCATAATTTGATAATATTATGTATACCTTGCATACTATTACTGTNATAGTGCTCATTTACAAAATTTTAAGCTACCCAGCTTTTTACCATGCCAGCTGAATGACCTTGCACGCTTGCAGATAGAGTTCAAATGCAAAGCATTGGGTGATATTCTATTAAAAATCAACATAAAGCCATCCATTTTACAAAAGCATTTCCTGCAAAGAAGAAATATTGTTTGCAGTTAATCCCTGCTTGAGTTCACAGCTTTCCCCCAAAATAAGAGGGTCAAGATTCATACTGAAGTGCATTTCCAAAAAAATTTGATTCTTTGTCCCACATCCCCACACTAAAAATTGGGTGCATAATACCAAATACTGTGCAGTTGAACCTTGATAAGTCAAACCCCTTCAAGTCAAATACCTCCCTAATTCAAAATTTTTTAACTCCCCCTCCTGATTAACTTATGAACAATGATTTAGAAACCTCCCTAATTCAAAGTATTTTCTTCTGGTACATCCATGAGTAAATTTTTCTGAGGCCTTTTGATCATTATTTTCTTGACAGGGCAAAGAAAAGAGCAATAAAAAGTGGAATTTGATGTGCTTTGGAAGAAAGTAAATGACAAACCCTTGTATCCTAGTTCAGTTCAGCATCCTATCAACTCATTTAAGAAGGCTTAAAATATCACCATTTTTGATTTTGTGGGATTTTTCCGTTTCTCATAACAAATATTCTTGGTTCTGTAATGCAAACTTCTACGACTCAAAACCTCCCTGAATTGAAACCTCACTTATACGTTAATTTTTTTGCTGCTCCCTTAAAATTTTACTTGGAGAAGTTCAACTGTATAATGATCACAAGTAATACTCCAACAGCTAATGGCATCATCATCGCAGGTCCTATCCATCCATGGGATCCAGGTTTTTCGCAGAACCAAAAATCATGAACAACGACCCGTTCGTCGGGGGACACTTTCTGCATGGACAGACTGAGAAATATTACCCACTTTTTCAACCAGCACCCTGTCATTCTTGTTCCTTTTTCTTTTTTTCAACCTGTCTGGGCTGTGGTGCAATGATCTACAACAATAAGGGGGAAAGAAAGATTCGACCGCTATTCTTCTTCCAAAAATGAAAAAATAAATAAATAAAAAAGGGAAACGATCGAGGGGCTTTTCTCGGGGTCGCCGAAGCTCACTTTCAACTTTTCCTGCCCCCAGAAGTGCACGCGAATTTTCCTTGACTGACGGGATGAAATTAATTCACGTACTCTAAGCGTGAATTCATTGCTTCGCATTCCGAGTATATTTTCGCTGGAGATCAAAACGTTGAGATTTATTCTTGCCTTGTAGGTAAATCTAAGTTCTGTGATAGTGAATTTTGTGAAGTGATGACGATGATGACGAAGAAGAGGAATAAAGATGCGGAGAAACAACGGGAAGAGATGACAGTGGACTTCCATACTGCGTCACTGGAGGAGCTGTTCGTCAGGTTCAACGTGAATCCGGCTATTGTGAGTGATCGATTCGATTTAAAAAATTCACGCAAAATATTGCCAACATTTATCGTCAAAGCATGGCATTGTACGGTCAGAAAAGTGCGAGACACGTACGCAGCCGAGTTCAAAATTATACAATGTGTCTACAGTATTCACGCGAAGGGTTTTGAAGAAATATTAACTTATGCGCAATTTCTGACGATGGTAGGATGGAGAAATTCACTACACAATTGAACCAAAATAAACCCAAACTTCCAGAAGCCCCTGTCTGGATTCCCTCAGCCCTTGAACGCATTTAAATCCTCATCAAAGACTTGCATTTTATGGGGCTATTATTATACAGTATTATCGACAAAGGGAAGGTAAAATCGATAAAAAATTTATTTTGATACGTTTTGAAACGAAGTGAATGACTAATTTGACAATATGAACCCTTTTGCCTCCGGAAGTTCCGACTCATTAAAAAGTTCAAGTCCTGGAATATTAACGGTTTAGAATTTTCTCTGATTCCTCTTTTTTCTGCACAAATGCTCGCTTAAATGAACTTCGTTGCTATTCCCTCATATTATTTTAATATAGGATGACTGGATGAAGTCATAGGTCAGAGATTATCCTTGTTCCCTTGTAAGAGTACAACACTTTGGGATAACCAACTTTCGCCAAAGTTGCTTAGATGTCGCCCTTTTGTCACGTCCGAAATGTATAGATAACCGAGAATCAATTTTGAAGTTTTTGTTGTTCAGATGCAGTCGCGAGCGACACCTACGTACGATTTTCCGAGAATTCGAGGCTTATTGCCTGCATTGTTGTACGGATCTTGACCATGTGAGTATTTGTTTCTTTGTGGGGACAGGGCCTGAGCTCGCTGGAGGCAAAACTCCGACTGGCCAGGGACGGACCAAATGCCTTGACTCCACCTCCGAAGGTGTCCGAGTGGATCAAGTTCCTCAAGTCCATGATGGGCGGGTTCTCCATCCTGCTCTGGTCCGGCTGCATCATGTGTCTTGCGGCTTTTGTGGTGCAGGCCAGGGGCATGCCGGACCCGCCCTACGACAACGTGAGTCTCCACCCCTTTTTGTTTCACGCTCCCGCCCACAGGGTTTTCTGGTTTTTCAATTCTACTGGGTGTTGGTGCTACTGGAAAGCAGCACTGGTGGTCTGCTTTTAAAATTGTACAGTCAGAACCTGATTCACTGCCACCTTTGCTCATCTGTCTATTCTTCATTCAGGAGAGGGAATTTGTTGTGGCACCATGCAAGGGCTGACTGTACACAGTGAGACCCCCAGATGCGGATATAATTTGTGCTAAAACTGTGTCCCTATGTATAGGGATGTCAGACCTAATTTTCCCATATAAACTTCAATGGAAAATAATTTAACTGGTTTCAGATCTCAAAAAATTGTATTTCTCAACTAAAGATACAGAATATAGCTATTCAGGATAGAGAACACTGCATAGAATATGGTCTTTTGGCATCACATGGACTCAAAAATGTGAACAAAAATTGTAAGTACAGTATTTCTATCCAGTGCACAGATGATTAAGAATGCTAAAAAAATATAAGCACAGAATCAATGTATTTGATAATGAAGTTAATTAAATACATGATAGAATTAATTTTTAATCTCTGTGAATATGAACAGCTCAATTTGATCATGATATATTCAAATTTTGAAAAATTAAAATTGTCCACTTATCTAAACATGCTGCAGCAAGAGTGTTCATATGTCAAGATATTGTCTGGATGTTGGGCACAATTTTTAAAAGTTGCATGTGTCCCCAAGTCAATTCATCCATATTTTTCGAGTGTCCGCATTTCAGGGTCTCTTTTATGTCTGCATTTCTGATTTTTGCCTATTTTCCATTCAGGGTGGGACAATTTTGTGGCAGTAAGTGAATTGGCACTAAATTGGGGTTTCCTATAAGAACACAATGAGGGAAGATCTCAACCAAGGAAATTTGTGGCACTATGCAGGGGTGTGGGGGCACTAAATGGTGGGTTGACTGTAGGATCTTTTTATATTTGCTAAATACTTCATTGCAGATGCTTTTCCCATTGCAAAGTTGTCAATTTTTTGAATAATGACTTCTTGAAGCGACTCTGGGACAGATTATCACTTGAGTTGAAAATTTTGGTGGACATTTGTCAGGCGTGAACCTCACCTCTCAATTATGTAGTCTACTGAACCAACGAAATAGACCAAAAATGCAATTGATTCACAGGAATGTGTTTCATTTTCAGCTTTACTTGGGCGTTGCATTGGGAGTAGTTGTCCTCATCACCGGACTGTTTTCGTACTATCAAGAGTCCAAGAGCACGAGGATAATGGATTCTTTCAAAAACATTCTGCCCCAGGTGAGCATGATGACCTTGCATCAAAAAAAATTCAGCTAATCTTCATCACGTCAGCGAACAATTTCGACCTAACAAAGAAATGTCTGTCTGGCATTAAAACCTGTAAATAATTTTGTTCGATGTACTGCCAAACGTCCCATGACTTCTATTTTCTTGAGATTCAGCAACCGCCACTAAAATTTCCCGTTTATATTTTGATCATAGGGTGTGAAATTTTGTATATACAGTGTATCTTTTTTCATGGAATATATATACTTTAAAAATTTCAATTTTTCAATGAATTGAGTCATTCGGATTTTCCTCAAAGGAATTTCTTCCCTCTGTATTTTATTCCTGACACCAACCAAAGTACAGCACAATATTATAGAATTATTCTATTTTTGAAAAGATGTTCTTAGTCACAAAAATACACAATGTGACATATTTCGATTGGAAATTCATCAGTTCCATTTTAGAGTATCTATAACCTCTCTCTTGAATTATGAATGAAGTCAATCTTATG